TAGGTACTTAAATGGCACTTCAATTTAGAAAATAATGAAAATTTTTAATCACTTACATTTCCCTGCAAAAATCAACCATCAAATGAAAAAAACTAAAATCGGCTGTAGATCCTTAATATTTAAGGATTCACTGCTCCAGTTGAGGAAACAATAAAAATCTGTGATCTAAAATCTGCTGTAGATACAATTCTAGATAGAATTGAAAAAAAAGAAAAAGAAAAAAAATGTTGTATGAAAACAACTCAAATCGACGGTAGATCCCTATACAACGCCCAAATTGCGAAAATAGCTAAAATCTGTGATCGCTCAAATCTTCCATTAAAAACCTAAAATCGGTTGTAGATCCTCCAAATGAGAAAATATTCAAAATCCTCTCACCAAAAATTGCTCCAACGAAGAAAATAGCGAAAATTTTACACATTTTCCATCAAAAATCTAATTTTAAGAATTTTTAACAAAAATTGATTTTATATGAAAACAAGTATAGAAATCTATATTCGTCTTTGACGAATCTTATATAGCCTTCACTATGGTGAAGATTAATTTTGTAAAATTTAAATTTATTTGATTTTCCCGACTCTATATTACTATTGCAATAACAAAATAAAAAACAACAACAACGTCAAATGAAAAAATAAACAAAACAAAATACGCAAAGTAATAAAACCACATCAAAACATACGTTTTTTCCAATAAGCAATGTTGTTGTTGTTTTTATGTCAAAGCATGCCTTAGCAAGCTTTCAAAATGAACAATATATTAAACAAAACATTCCTTACTTCTTCAATATTTCTCCTGCAGTTTGAGATATTTGTTATTTTATTCCATCCTTTTCTTAGCTTGTCTCTAAAAAACTAACCTTTTTACCTTCTGACTAAAATATCAATAAGCAACAAAAGCAAAATTGTTTCTAAATTAATCTAACATTTCCTCTTTTATAACATTTTACTTTCCTGTTGTTGTTGTTTTGCTAAAAAGCTTTTACGCTCTAGCTAAAGTACCAACCAATGACCAAAATACCCCTATTAACTTAACTTTACATTTCCTTTCATTTATTACTTATTTTCCTTCCTTTTGTTCTTATTTATCTAATAACCAACAAATTTTACTCACCTATTTACTTTTCTCCTTCTCCTTCAAAGATAAACCGATTTATCTATTTAACGAACGAGCGCTCGAACGCACGACACAAATTACTCAAAACGGTTAAAATCCGCCATTTAATTTTTCACAACTTTAAACACTTTTTTCAGACACTTCTAGTTAATATTTTTTAAAAATTCCTACAGATAAATGTTCACAAACACTTAATTAACATTTTTATATAAAATTCTTTAAATTTACTTAATTATTTAATTAATTAAACGCGTTTAAAGAGGAGACTACTCCAAAACCGACCGAACCGTATGACTGCTGCAATGAAACTAAAATGTGCAACAGATTTAAAATGCTTATAGAGCTTTTGTTGTTGGTAAATCTTTTTATTAGTTAGTAAAAGGAAGAGAGGGAGAGTGCGAAAGTGGTGCTAACTATGGAGTATTAGCAAGGTGTTTGTTTTTAGTAGATAACTTTTAACTGTCATTTTTTTAATAAGTAACATTGACAGTGATAATGAACTAATGAGTTTGCGAAAAAACATAAATTTGCGTATTTGCATGCATTTGCATAAATACTCCTAAAGTGGGAGTGCGTAAATCACAAATGTACGGAGATGCCAGATAGGCAAATGTTTGTTTTGTAAGCGGGATTTATTATTTAACTAGGTTTCTTAGGGTAAATGCTTTTAGGCACTGTTTTAATAAAAAAACTATTATATTTTTTATTTTATTCTTAAAATACTTAAGAATTGCATAAATTTGAAATTAAAAATATTTAAATAATTACATTACGAAAAGTGAATTTACAAAATTGGACTATAGACTAGACTATAGACTAGACTATAGACTAGACTATAGACTAGACTATAGACTAGACTATAGACTACTAGACAAGACTATAGACTAGACTATAGACTAGACTATAGACTAGACTATAGACTAGACTATAGACTAGACTATAGACTAGACTAGACTAGACTATAGACTAGACTATAGACTAGACTATAGACTAGACTATAGACTAGACTATAGACTAGACTATAGACTAGACTATAGACTAGACTATAGACTAGACTATAGACTAGACTATAGACTAGACTATAGACTAGACTATAGACTAGACTATAGACTAGACTATAGACTAGACTATAGACTAGACTATAGACTAGACTATAGACTAGACTATAGACTAGACTATAGACTAGACTATAGACTAGACTATAGACTAGACTATAGACTAGACTATAGACTAGACTATAGACTAGACTATAGACTAGACTATAGACTAGACTATAGACTAGACTATAGACTAGACTATAGACTAGACTATAGACTAGACTATAGACTAGACTATAGACTAGACTATAGACTAGACTATAGACTAGACTATAGACTAGACTATAGACTAGACTATAGACTAGACTATAGACTAGACTATAGACTAGACTATAGACTAGACTATAGACTAGACTATAGACTAGACTATAGACTAGACTATAGACTAGACTATAGACTAGACTATAGACTAGACTATAGACTAGACTATAGACTAGACTATAGACTAGACTATAGACTAGACTATAGACTAGACTATAGACTAGACTATAGACTAGACTATAGACTAGACTATAGACTAGACTATAGACTAGACTATAGACTAGACTATAGACTAGACTATAGACTAGACTATAGACTAGACTATAGACTAGACTATAGACTAGACTATAGACTAGACTATAGACTAGACTATAGACTAGACTATAGACTAGACTATAGACTAGACTATAGACTAGACTATAGACTAGACTATAGACTAGACTATAGACTAGACTATAGACTAGACTATAGACTAGACTATAGACTAGACTATAGACTAGACTATAGACTAGACTATAGACTAGACTATAGACTAGACTAGACTACTAGACTATAGACTAGACTATAGACTAGACTATAGACTAGACTATAGACTAGACTATAGACTAGACTATAGACTAGACTATAGACTAGACTATAGACTAGACTATAGACTAGACTATAGACTAGACTATAGACTAGACTATAGACTAGACTATAGACTAGACTATAGACTAGACTATAGACTAGACTATAGACTAGACTATAGACTAGACTATAGACTAGGCTATAGACTAGACTATAGACTAGACTATAGACTAGACTATAGACTAGACTATAGACTAGACTATAGACTAGACTATAGACTAGACTATAGACTAGACTATAGACTAGACTATAGACTAGACTATAGACTAGACTATAGACTAGACTATAGACTAGACTATAGACTAGACTATAGACTAGACTATAGACTAGACTATAGACTAGACTATAGACTAGACTATAGACTAGACTATAGACTAGACTATAGACTAGACTATAGACTAGACTATAGACTAGACTATAGACTAGACTATAGACTAGACTATAGACTAGACTATAGACTAGACTATAGACTAGACTATAGACTAGACTATAGACTAGACTATAGACTAGACTAGACTAGACTATAGACTAGACTATAGACTAGACTATAGACTTTTTAAGTTTAAGTTTAAGTGATTTTCGAAAGTGGACCTTATATGGGAGCTATGACCAATTATGGACCGATTCGGAAAAAAATTGGTAGTGTGATTTATACATACACAAAACATATTCATGTCGAAAGCTTTATTTATCAGTGAAATATGCGCGTATGAGTGATTTTCGGAAATGGGTCTTATATGGGAGCTATGACCAATTATGGACCGATACAAATCTACGTTTGTAGTATGATTTCTGTTCATATTTTATTTATATATGCAAAATTTTAAGTTGCTATCGACATATTTGAGGAAGTTATTTACGATAAATCCATTTTCGGAAATATGTACCTTTGTATGGCGGCTATGGGAAATCTTGGATCCATTGTTTTGATTTTCAACATAAATAATCCCTGGGTAAAAAAACTGACGTGTGACAAAATTCATCGAATTATCTTTTGTAGTCTCTGAGAAAACGATATAAAAATTACGAAAAAAACATAATTTTTTCGAGGTAGTCTGAAATTTTTACTCATAACTTTTAACGTTGTGAACCGATTTTGCTTAGGACAACAATGAATGTTTTTGGTGAATTTGGTTTATTTCTTTTGCTTAGTTTTAACGTGAGCGTGTTTTAGGCAGACAGACAGACTGACGGACATAGCTACATCGACTCAGAATTTGATAAAGACCAGAAGTATATATACTTGTTTGGGTCTCAGATGAATATTTCTTGGTGTTACACACGGAATGACAAACTTATATATACCCTTTATCACCACTGATGGTGGTGGAGTGTATAAAAAACTCCATTTATTAAAAAATTTAACATACAGCATCTTTTTATAGATTTCTATTTAGGTAGTTATAATTAAAGCAATGGGCATTGCTTTGTATTTACATCTGGCAACACGCAATTTTTGCCAATGCCTTAATAGTGTTGGGCAAAGAATGTCAAAGAAAAATAAATAGTTTAAAATGGTACTTTTGGGGGTAATGCGAGTAACGGGTTTACAATTAGGAAATATAAGGGAATACTTAATATATGGAGCAAATTATACCCCATTTTCATTACAGCGAAATCAATTAGATTAGATTTCGAATCTTTCGCAAAATATGTACGGTTTGCACTTAATTTTCTTTTTGACTAGATTCCATTTTAAAAACAAATACAACTGAATGAATATAAAAACAAAACAAAATATAGTTGAAAATATGATATATATTTTGATATATATATGAATTTTATTTTTGGTACAAAATTCGGCAGTTAATTATTACATTTTATTTCAATTTTAAATTATTTTTCATTCATGTACTTTAAATTCTTTATTAAATGATCCATTTCATACCCTTCTTCCAGCTGACAATTGTACCCCCGAAATGGGCAAGTTTTTATGTCGCAACAACATCACCTGTCTGCCTCTAGATAAAGCCTGCGATGGCACACCAGATTGTCCCGATCGAACCGATGAATCATTTCGCTGTACAGCTTCCAATAGTTGCAAAAATAAAACCTGTCCTCCTGCCTCAAAATGTCAAATGATGCCACAATCGGGTCCCGAATGTATATGTCCAAAAGGCTTTAAACATTCTCTATTAGAGGATGTATGCATAGATATAGATGAGTGTTTGGAACAATATGGTGTCTGCAGTCAAACTTGTATTAATGCCCCGGGCACATATAGATGTACTTGTGATGAGGGCTATAGTTTAAGAGAAGATAATCGTACTTGTGAGGCACGAGGAGAAGAAGCTTTACTATTGTATACTACACAGGTAACGGTGATGGGTGTTAATTTAAGATCCATGAGAGTGTATACAGTGGCAAAGAATCTGACCAAAGTTATTGGAGTGTCCTATAATGGGGAGCATATCTATTGGACAAATATACAAAATGAAGGTGAAAGTATTGTTAAGGCAAATCCAGATGGTTCACAGCAAGAAATTCTGCTGACATCGGGATTAGATGCTCCCGAAGATTTGGCAGTAGATTGGCTAACTGGTAAGGAATTTTTAAGGGTTTTGAAAATAAAATATATTTTAATTGATTTTGATTTTAAGGCAACATTTACTTTTCGGATAATGTTATGCATCATATAGCCGTTTGCTCAAATGATGGCCACTTCTGTACAGTTTTGGTAACCGATGATGTACATCAGCCTCGTGGTGTGGCCTTGTGGCCTCAACGTTCTCAAATCTTTTGGACTGATTGGGGCATTAATCCCATGATAGCACGTGCCTCTATGGATGGCACCAATTCTATGCGTTTGGTAACCGAAAAAATTCATTGGCCCAATGGTATTGCTTTGGATATGTATAATGATCGTGTGTATTGGGTGGATGCCAAAATGGCCACCATTGAAAGTGTTCGCACCGATGGCACTGATCGTAGAATGGTGTTGGAAGAGATTCTCAAACACCCATATGGTTTGGCCATATTTGAAGATTATATTTATTGGTCTGATTGGGGCACCAAAAGTATTCATGCTTGTAATAAATTTACTGGGAAAGATCATAAAGTTGTAACGAAAGATCGCACGATATATGCTGTGCATATTTATCATTCGGCAAAGCAAAAGAAAATTCCACATGCCTGTGAGAGAGCTCGTTGCTCTCATTTGTGTTTGTTGGCAGAGAAAAATAGTTTTTCGTGTGCTTGTCCTGATGGCATGCAGTTGGGGCCTGATCAATTGCGTTGCATGAAAACTCATAAGAAGCAACGTTTGTTTTTGGGAGTGAGAGGTAATTTACTGGAAATGGAGCATACCACGTTTGGTCGTCATACCATTACAACTACTCATAAACTGGACATGTTTATTCATGAACTGGCTTATAATAGTGTTAATAACACCGTATTTGTGGCCGATAATTTCCAAAAAGTTATTTGTGAAGTGGACTTGCAAAGTAATGTGGTGAGAACTTTGGTAAAGGGAAATTTGGGCAATGTCACGGGATTGGCATTTGGTAAGTATCGGGTGAGAGATTTGTTATGGATTGTTATTGATTTTCAAGTTTCTAGATCATTTATCCTATAATTTATATTGGAGTGATTCCGAAAGACATGTAGTCGAGGTATTGTCACTACAAACAAAACATCGAGCTATAGTGGCATTCTTTGCAGGAGTTGAAGCTCCTATTGGTTTAGCCATTATACCAGAAGATGGGTTAGTTATCATTTAGGAAAAAAATAAAGCAGATTCCTTATATTTTATCTCGTAATTTTAGAACCATGTTTATTGCCTTAAAAGCTCGCTATATTCATATTGATCAAAAATCTTTGAGCGGTCTGGGAGAACATTCTCATGTCTTTGAGGATGAGCTAGGTGATGATGACATCAAATTTGTTACTGATCATGAGACCAACACTTTGTACTGGGCCGATAGTGATTTGGGACGTATATCATTTTCAGATTATCGCAATTTACATGCTTATACCTTCCGTGGTCGCTTGAAGCGACCCTATTCCATTGCCATAGTAGATGAAGATCTTTTCTGGACTGAACTCAAGTCGAATACCATACACTGGACTCACAAGAGTAATATGGGACCTTTAAAACGTTTCGATATAGAAGTCAATCGTGAGTTATACACCACACATTCCTTACCTACTCACATCCCCTTGGCGGCCAGTGTACCGGCTCCAACTGCTGATCATCCTTGTCAAAATTGGAATGGTGGTTGTTCGCATGTTTGTGTTACCTTGAGTAAATTTCTGGCTGGTTGTCTTTGTCCAGCTGGTTTGGTATTTAGAGATTCTACAAATCGCACCTGTATAGAGGCTTTGGATTGTGAATTCCGTTGTCGTTCGGGTGAATGTTTAACTCTATCGCGAAGATGTAACAATCGTAAAGATTGCCCAGATGGTTCAGATGAAGAGGGTTGTGATTTGGATAAGAAACAAAAAACGAAAGTTGTATGTCCGGTAGGTAAGTTTACATGCCACAATGGGGAGCAGTGTTTGGAGGCTGATCAACGCTGTGATGGCAAGAAACAATGTCATGATGGCTCCGATGAGGATCACTGTGAACATTTTGGTAAGTTGAAGAGTTTTTGCGGTATAAAATCATAAAAATCAATGATATGTTTTTCCCTTTTTTTCAGATAAATCCAAAAATTGCCATCGCCATCAGCATGTCTGTGACAATGGCAACTGTGTGGACTTTAGTGTTATGTGTGATGGTGTTAACGATTGTGGTGATAATTCTGATGAACAGAATTGTAAATTGGCTAAAGGTAAGGAGGCAAGTTTACGTCCGGTATGTGGCAAAGATATGTTTCAGTGTAATAGTGGCACTTGCATTGCCAAATCCTGGGAATGTGATGGTAAAATTGATTGCTCCGATAGCTCAGATGAACATGATAAATGTGGTAAGTTTTGGCTATTAATTTGCTTTAGCACAAATGTCCTTAAACTTGGATTTATTCTATAGGCGTTAAGGATTGCCCTAGTGATATGCATAGATGCCTTTTGGGACAGTGCATCGATAAACGTTTAGTATGTGATGGCCACAACGATTGTGGCGACTATTCCGATGAACTTAATTGTGATTTGATAACGGGCAAAAAGCGCAAAATGTCCTGTGGCGATGAATTGAATCCTATGTATGAATGTCCTAGTGATTCCAATATTTGCCTGGAACTCTCTGCCAAATGTAATGGCACGGCCGAATGTCCACGTGGGGAAGATGAAGCGGACTGCGGCAACATGTGTAGCATCTATGAGTTTCGCTGTAGGTCTAGTAAAGAATGCATACGCTCAGAATTTCGCTGTGACAATGAGAAAGACTGTGCTGATGGTTCAGATGAGGAGAATTGTGAAAGACATGGAGCCTGGAATGCTTCGGTGGGTATACAAACACATGAAAAAGCTTGCGGTCCTAAAATGTGGGATTGTCGAGATGGTGGTTGTGTTGATGAGTCACGGGTATGTGATGGTTTCGACGATTGTGATACGGGAGCCGATGAGGGTCCTTTGTGTAAAACTGCCTGTAAACCTATGGCTGGAAAAGCGCCCTGCCAGAATAAGTGTAAAGCCACCCCAGCCGGAGCAGTTTGTTCCTGTTTTAGTGGCTACAAATTAGATACAGATCATCGTTCTTGTATTGACATCAACGAATGTGAAGAACAAGATCCTTGTGCTCAAATATGTGAAAATAATCATGGTTCGTATAGATGTTCTTGTTATCCAGACTTTATGATGCGTCCCGATAAGGCCTCTTGCAAATCAATAGAGAGTGAGAAATCATTATTATTTTCCACCTACGATGAGGTACGCAGCATGACCGAACAGCCCATAATGCTGAAAGTAGCCTGGAAAGCTAATGATACCAAAATAAATGGTTTTGATTTAAATGTTAGAACACGTAAGGCTTACTTTACCACCGACAATGAAAACATACTGTACAAAGTGGATGTGGATACAGGAGTGATTAAAGCTGCGTTGGAGCTGCCTATGCCGGGCAAAGTAGCAGTAGATTGGATAACAGGTAAGTTTAGTTAGTTAAAGGTACTATAAAACTTATAATTAATAAAAAAACTCCTTTCCAGACAATGTCTATGTCATCAGCCGTTATCAAGTGTATGAGATTAAGGTCTGTTCCTTTACGGCCAAAATGTGTGGCACCATTTTGAAGGCAAAACCACGTGAAACTATCAAAACTCTTACCGTAGATGCCTACAATAGACGTTTATTTTTTGTTGTAGTGCAAACTCAAACATTTGGTTCTCACCGATCACGTATAGCTACCGCCAATTTGGATGGTAGTAAACGTGAGTACTTGCTAAACAAAGAAATGAGTTTCATTACCACCTTAGCCTGTGATCCCTACAAAAAGATGCTCTACTTTGCCGATTTGCATCAGAAGACCTTACACGGTATTAGCTATCGTTCTGGAGCGAGAGGTATACCCATTACATTGCTACAAAAGGGGAATATAATTATGCATCCCTCCGGTTTAACCTGGTATGAGAATCAAGTGTTTATTGTTAACCTGGGAGCTAAAGAATCCATACGTTGTTTTCTGTATGGCTCAAGAAAGTGTAAAGCCTTCAATTTGAATATACTCAATGCTGAGGATATACTCATAGATGGTGCTTCACGTCAGCCCATGAATCGCAATCCCTGCACAATGGCGAAATGTCGTGGCATGTGTGTACAAACTGAATTCAGCTACGAATGCATGTGTGGTGATTCCATAGTAAGTGAATCCAAACATTGTGATACCAACAATGAGATCACCTCCTCAGCCTTGCTGATACAACGTCCCGCGCCCTCAAATGAAGATCAGGGATCATCCCATATAACTGCAGTGGTTTGGTCACTGATTACCCTGCTGATCCTGCTACTCTGTGGCTTGGGGTATTTTTATTATCGTCGCAAACAGCAGGGACAACGTGATTTTATTCGTAACCTGCATTTCCAGAATCCATTGGCATCTTTCATACCACACAACGGCAGCAAAACAGGAACCCTGGACAGTGGACTCACCACAACCGGAACGGGCAGCTCATCGGGCACCACGGCTGCCTCATTCGAGGTCGAAAGGGAAAAGTTACACATTGGCTCATCAATTCAGAGATTTTTACGTGGCTCGTCGTCGTCGCATGGCTCGGAGATTTTGCTGGAAACCGCCAAGGTGGGTTTGCTGGTTATTCTACCCTTGTTACTTTTACTAATTCAAATTGTACTTTTATTTTTAATCATATTCTTTTGAAAAGCCCCATGAAGTATATGAAGTGGTCCCGGAGAAACAGCAGCAGCAGCAGCAGCCACGACGACCCGAACAATCACTCATACCGAATCTGTTGGTGGAAGATACCGAACACGATATCACCCTCGCAATTGGAGATTATGATGATGATGCGAGAGCCCGGCTTGTACCCTAGATGAATTGTAAATTCTTTAAAATATTTTTATATTTTTTTTATAATTTTATGTAATATATTTTTTTTTTGTAAATTATTATAAAACTTAGTTATTTTGTAAATTATGTAAAAATTAATTAGTTAAATGTTATGTAATTTAGTGTATGTAAATATGTAAGTAATAAAAAGTTATCTTAATTTCTTGGAAGAAAATTTTGATTTTTATTTTTGATATATTTCAAATTTCTTAAATTTCCCAAATATTTTGATAGATCTTCTAATGAGATAAAATTTCATGGGCGAGTTTTATAAATAAATATTTATTTAACTGTCAAAGTACTTTTTTAAAGCAATTCTCCCTTATTTAGTAAATTAAAGTACTAAAACTATAACTACGTACAATATCCCAAAACCCATCTTAATTTTCTACCATTACCAGAACAATGAACTGCGAATGTCTATAAAATTTATTATTCTCTTTAAGAGCTAATGTTTCTCATTTATTGAGATGAACAAAAACCTTCTCACCTTTAAGAACAACCAAGAATAGCAACCTTCTTTATAAACACATTAAAATCCTATGCGCAACACACCTACAAGAACGTTTTGACAGAAACTTAAAAAGGAATACTAACACTAAGGCAAGTTTAAGCCCACATTTTGACAGTTGATTGCAATTAGTTCTATTCTATTCTCACTTTCTAATTATTCTGAGCAAATTCTTGCTAGTGCGCATGTCTTAAAATAAATCCTCTCACTTACTAACATCTCTTTAAAGCTTCTCAACAAATTTTATTAGTTTTCGCGCAATATTCATACGGTTCGGTTGGTTCGGTTATTAGCTCCTGTGAAAATTATTAAAGTTCATAGAAATAATTAAAAAACAATTAATATTTAAACATTCGCAACTTAATAAAGTGTTTTTTTATTCATTTGTGTAAAAATCTATTTCAAAAGTTTAACAAAAACTAATATAAAGTGTTAACAAATCCAGCCTTTCATAGCCGACCGGTTGATGTGTTACCATCGTTTGTTTAATCGTTGTTATTTAGGGGTAAGAGAAAAAGGAACGAGTGCAAAAGTAAAGTGGTATGTAGTTGTTGTAAATTCTCCACCATAAATAGAAAACTAAAGAAATTGCAATAAATACTTGTTGAATCAATCGGTTAGGAAAACGGAACGGGGAAATATGTATATGTATGTGTGTATTTTATAATAACATATTTAGTGTTGGTATAGGTCAAGTAATTGTACTTTTGATATTCTCTCTTTCTGAAGCTATTGCGCATGTCTCAATATAATTTTCTCATTTGTAAATATGGCTTCTTTTAACGTATTAAAGAGTTTAATCGTGAAACTTGTTTATAAAAAGCTTTTATAGCCAAATACGCAACTGCATAATGAATTCTAATTGGCTGCAACTAAACAGGAATACCAATACAATGGCAAATGTTTTCTAACGTAATAAGTTTGTCTTCTATTTTCTCTATTAAACAAACTTGAAAATCTCTAATTCTAATCTAATTAATACTCTCTGAGATACAGTTTTATTAGTTTTCGCACAATATTCATACGGTTCGGTTGCTAGCTCCTGTGAAAATTATAAAATTGCATTGAAATAATTAAAAAAACAATTCATTTTTAAACATTCGCAACTTAATAACGTGTGTTTTTATTCATTTGTGTAAAAATCTATTTGAAAAGTTTAACAAAAACTAATATAAAGTGTTAACAAATTCAGCCTTTCATAGCCGACCGGTTGATGTGTTACTATCGTTTGTTTAATCGTTGTTATCTAGGGGTAAGAGAAAAGGAACGAGTGCAAAAGTATAGTTGTATGTAGTTGTTGTAAATTCTCCTACATATGTAAATATAAAACTAAAGAAATTGCAATAGGTACTTCTTGAATCAATCGGTTAGGATAAAGAAATGGGAAATAGGTGTATGTATGTGTGTAGTTTATAATAATATGTTTAGTGTTGGTATAGGTCAAGTAATTGTACTATTTAAATACTCTCTTTCTAAAGCTACTGCGCATGTCTCAATATAATATTTCTCATTTGTAAACATGTATTCTTTTAACGTATTAAAGAGTTTAAGAGTTAAACTTCTTTATAAAAAGCTTTTATAACCAAATACGCAACTGCATAATGAATTCTAATTGGCTGCAACTAAACAAGAATACCAATACAATGGCAAGTGTTTTCTAATGTAATGAGTTTTTAACGAACTTTAAAATCTCTAACTACTTCACTACTCTCTCAGATACATTTTTATTAGTTTGCGCGCAAGTTTCATACGGTTCGGTTGGTTCGGTTAATAGCTCCTAAAAAATTAAAAATTTTGATAGAAATATTTAAAAAACAATTAATATTTCAACTTTAGTAAATTTACGAAGTGTTTTTCTATATAATTGTGTAAAAATTTATTCCAAAAGTTTAACAAAACCTAATAAAAATTGTTAGCAAATTCAGCCTTTCATGGCCTACCGGTCGTTGTGTTTCCTTCGTTTTTTCATTAGTTGTTATCCAGGGTAAGATAGAAAGGAACGAGTGCTAAAGTAAAGTGGTATGTAGTTGTTGTAAATTCTCCTACATAAATAGAAACTAAAGAAATTTTAATAAATACTAGTTGTCAATCAGCTAGGATAAAGGAAGGGGAAATACCTGTATATGTATGTACATATATGTATATGTATGCATTTTATAATAACATATTTAATGATGGTATAGGTCAAGTAATTGTACTTTTAATATTCTCTCTTTCTGAAGCTATTGCGCATGTCTCAATATAATTTTCTCATTTGTAAATATGGCTACTTTCAACGTATTAAAGAGTTTAATAGTGAAACTTGTTTATAAAAAGCTTTTATAGCCAAATACGCAACTGCATAATGTATTCAAATTGGCTGCAACTAAACAAGAATACCAATACAATGGCAAGTGTTTTCTAATGTAATAAGTTTGTCTTATATTTTCTCTATTAACAAACTCTCTAACTACTTCAGTACTCTCTCAGATACATTTTTATTAGTTTGCGCGCAAGTTTCATACGGTTCGGTTGGTTCGGTTATTAGCTCCTGTGAAAATTATAAAATTTGATAAAAATATTGAAAAAATTATTAATATTTTAACTTCAGTAAATTTACGAAGTGTTTTTCCATATAATTGTGTAAAAATTTATTCCAAAAGTTTAACAAAACCTAATAAAAAGTGTTAGCAAATTCAGCCTTTCATGGCCTACCGGTCGTTGTGTTTCCTTCGTTTTTTCATTCGTTGTTATCCAGGGTAAGATAGAAAGGAACGAGTGCTAAATTAAAGTGGTATGTAGTTGTTGTACATTCTCCTACATAAATAATAAGCTAAAGAAATTGCAATACGTACTTGTTGAATCAATCGGTTAGAAATAAGTGGATATGTGTGTATTTTATAACAACATATTTAGTGTTGGTATAGGTCAAGTAATTATATTCTTTAGATTCTCTCTGAAGCTACTGCGCATGTCTCAATATAATTTTCTCATTTGTAAACATATCTTCTTTTAACTTATTAAAGAGTTTAATGGTAAAATTTCTTAATAAAAAGCTTTTATAGCCAAATACGCAACTGCAATTTGAATTCTAATTGGCTGCAACTGAACAGGAACACCAATACAATGGCAAATGGTGTCTATTTTTTTTTTTTTTAATAAGGTTTTATTTTCTCTATTAACAAACTTTAAAATCTCTAACTACTTCACTACTCTCTCAGATAATTTTTATTAGTTTGCGCGCAAGTTTCATACGGTTCGGTAGGTTCAGTTAATAGCTTCTGAAAAATTATAAAATTTCATAGAAATAATTAAAAACCAATTAATATTTTTTGTTCAGTAAATTTATGAAGTGTTTTTCTATATAATTGTGTAAAAATTTATTCCAAAAGTTTAACAAAAACTTATAAAAAATGTTAACAAATTCAGCCTTTCATAGCCGACCGGTTGTTGTGTTACCTTCGTTTGTTTATTCGTTGTCATTTAGGGGTAAGAGAAAAAGGAGAAAAGGAGTGCTATACTAAAGTGATATGTAGTTCTTTTAAATTCTCCATCATAAATAGAAAACTAAAGAAATTGCAATAAGTACTTGTTGAATCAATAGGAAAACGGAACGGGGAAATAAGTGTATGTATGTGTATATTTTATAATAACATATTTAGTGTTAGTATAGGTCAAATATTTGTATTTTGATATTCTCTCTTTCTAAAGCTATTGCGCATGTCTCAATATAATATTTCTCATTTGGAAACATGGCTTCTTTTAATGTATTAAAGAGCCAAATAGTGAAACTTCTTAATAAAAAGCTTCTAAAGCTAAATACATAACTATGTTATGAATTCTAATTGGCTGCAATTAAACAGAAATACAATTACAATGGCAAGCAGTTTTAATGTATTGGCATTTGTTGGCAATAGTTTAGGCTCTCTTTTAACTTCTTTATTGACAAACTTTAAAATCTCTAATTCAATACTCTCTGAGATACATTTTATTAGTTTGCGCGCAAGTTTCATACGGTTCGGTTGGTTCGGTTAATAGCTCCTGAAAAATTATAAAATTTCATAGAAATAATTAAAAACCAATTGTTATTCCAAAAGTTTAACAAAACCTAATAAAAAGTGTTAGCAAATTCAGCCTTTCATGGCCTATCGGTTGTTGTGTTTCCTTCGTTTATTCATTCGCTGTTATCTAGAGTAAGAAAGAAAGTACTAAAATAAAGTGGTATGTAGTTGTTGTAAATTCTCCTACATAAATAGAAATTGCAATAAATACTAGTTGACGGAAACGGTTAGGAAAAAGGAAGGGGAATATATTTATATTTCCGTACATTCTATTAA